GTATGTATGTATGTATGTATGTATGTATGTATGTATGTATGCGCGTATGCGCGTATGTGCGTATGTATGTATGTATGTATGTATGTATGTATGTATGTATGTATGTATGTATGCGCGTATGCGCGTATGCGCGTATGAATGAATGTATGTATGTATGTATGTATGTATGTATGTATTTATGTATGCGCGTATGCGCGTATGTATGTATGTATGCATGTATGCGCGTATGCGCGTATGTATGTATGTATGTATGTATGTATGTATGTATGTATGTATGTATGTATGTATGTATGCGCGTATGCGCGTATGTATGTATGTATGTATGTATGTATGTATGTATGTATGTATGTATGTATGTGTGTGTGCGTGTATGTGGGTATGTATGTATGTACGTACGTACGTATGTATGTTTGTATGTACGTATGTATGTGTGTATGTACGTATGTGTGTATATACATACATGTGTATATATATATATATATATAGAATTTTTAAGTGTACATATTTTTGTACATATATATATATATATAGACACACTTATATATATATATATATATGTACATATTTTTGGCTATATGTCATATGTACGTTGTCCAGGATGCGTTCTGTCCCGAATCTTACCGAGAGCAGCACCGGACCTCGCTGCCGCTTACGACAGAGTCCGAACCTCGGTGTTTTTGGGGCTTCAGCGGTTTCGCGAGTTTTTAGGGCCTAGGGTTCAGGGTTCAGGGTTTAGGGTTTAGAGGCAGGGCATTGGGGTTTGGCAGATTACAGCACCAGTGCTCTTGGATTGGAAGAGCTCCGAGGAATGGAAGCCTCTTGACAAGCCGTCTGCACACCTCTGGGTTGCCTTTGGTCCCATAACCCTAAACCCTAAACCCTAAACCCTAAACCCTAAACCCTAAACCCTAAACCCTAAACCCTATAAAGTCTAGTATCTGCAATAGAAACCTCCAGCTCCTGCACATCCCCCTGGAAACTGAAATCCTGAAGAGCTACATCATAAGTCCGACCATCCACGCCAAGTGGCAACCTGTGCAAAGTTGTATAAGTTGCGCGTGAAGTGATCCTGCAAGCAGGAGATTTGGAGCCAGGTGGGGAGGTGAAGTACCCACCATCACCCTGAACCTCCTGCTGGCCCCTACTACTCACTCCATTCCTCCTCCTCCTCCTCATAGCACTACTACGACTACCACCACCACTACCACTGCCACTGCCACTACCACCACCACCACGGCCGCGACCACGAATTGCCACTACCAGCACGAACTAATGCTACTACGCACACCACTACCACTGCCACTACCTCCCTCTACCGCTATTGCTACCGCTACCGCTGCTGCCACCAATACCACGACCACTGACACCACCACTACTACTAACACGACGACTACTACTTCTTCCTCCTCTTCTTCTGCTTCTTCACTTCCATTCTCAGAATCACTGGTTCTTGCTACCAAGTAGGAGCAGGCCGTATGCGGCGGAGTCGTCCTTGTTCTTCGTGTTCATGCTGTTTTCGACTCCGGCCATGAGGTCCTGGCTCAGGAGCTTGTGAAGAATCCCTGAGAAATTCGGTTGGGGCGTTGAGGGTTTTGGGTTTCACGCAACATGCCGGGACGACATCGAAGTAGCTTCGCAGCTTCGGGCGCCGCTCCTCAATCTGCTGGTTGATGAGCTGCTCCTGCCCACCAACAGGGTCTCGATGCTATGTCCGTTACAATTGGTCACCGAGTAGTGGTAGTCCTTGAGCTGCAAGAAATTCTGCTCGTGAAGGAGAATGAGACCCAGCCTGGGCGTAGATGTCATGAGCCGCTTAATAACCAAATTGCTCCGAAGATATGTCTTTGTGCTACTGTGGCCAGGGCACTTCTCTAAACCTACAGACAGATGTACACGAACACATGCACCTGGGTTTACGTATCCGCTTCCCTGGCACTTATGTATTTCTGCATGTGTTGAATTGTCTCTTCATTTTTCTGTCTGTCCGCTTGTCTGCTTGCGCAATATACAGCTGGTTTGAAGTTTGAACATCTTGGCGGCATCCTAGTGATGCACGAAGCCTAAGTCGGGCACAAAGGGCGGCTTATCGACCACATAGAGCTGAACTCACCTGACGGGTCTTGTCCCCTGAATGTTGTTCGGACCAACTTCCCGAGACTTTCACAAGTAATGCAGCGGGCCACGGAGTAAAGGCAGAAACTGATGTTCAAACTCGGACGCTGCAAAGTCCGAACGAGTGTGCCTTCGACCCACTTCCCAGAGGAACCTTTAAGGAGCGCGTTCGACGCTACCTGTAACTTTTTCAATTGCATTCCCTGCTTCTGCTTCCTCACGCCTGTCATGACCAGTTGGAACATGAGGTGAAGGATCTTCTGCAGGCAATGAGGTGCCTCCAATGCAAGAACTCGTGCGGCCCTCAGAAGTGGTGCACGTGAACTGTCATGTCGGTTCTGCGATCGTGACTCGAGACAGCTCTTGCCAGGACAGTCTGAGTCTGACCTCCTGCAGGTAGCGTCGAACGCGCTCCTGACAATCGCTCTGACTCCCCTCGTCGTCCCACGTATCCCAAGCCCTAAACCCTTCGCGAGACAGTCCTGTTCGGGGGTGCTCTTCCCAGTGAGCTGTGAGTGGAAGTACGAGATCACATTGTCCTGGCAGGATGCCGGGTTCTACCCAGATCGGCTGAAGTGGGACCCCTTCAAGGGCTCTGAGCCTTTACACTCTCGCAGGATCCTGCTCCACTGGGAGGCTGAGGCAGCTTACGATCCGAAAGGGACAACTCTTCCCGTGACTGGCAGACAAACTTGCCGGAATCTCGACAACTGCACAGCTTTGCATTTGCACACCGGTCTCGAAAGAGAGGAGGCCTGCCAACGAAACGGACCACTTTGGACCAAGCCACAGCGGTGACGCAACTTAAAGTTGGGAAGCTTCACCAATATGTCTGCACCTTGCGTAACAGTCATCAAGTGGCTTAAGACGCTTTGCAGTGAGTGCATGTGTGCGTGTGTGCGCCTATGCTGCGCTGGGTACTGCGTGCAGCAAGTGTAAGTCTGGGAGCCCCACTACTACAACTGTGCCCTCTGCCCTCAGCTACAGTTCAGTTCAGTTGCAAACAGGCGCAAGTAGCCAACATGCCTCAGAAGTATGTTGCTAGCAGGGCTCATACTGGCTCAGCATCTAGATTGGTTGAACTTTCCGACATCAAGAGACTAGCTCCAATCCATGTGTTCCCCTTCCACCTCCGTTGCAATGTCGCGTGTGTTCATGATGTAAGGCATCCAAGTGCCGTGCTTGGGCAGTTTCAAACGGAAGTGTTTCGATTTGATGCAGGGAAGTGCTGCTGCTGGCCGTCGCTTGTAATGCTTGCGGGTGCTCAGCATCGCCTTCTGGCATCGTGGTTTCAGTTGCTGCCAGTCCTTCTGCTGCGCGGAAGCAAGACTGCGGCGCCCTTCTACGAGTTCTCACTACCGGCAGCTGGCCTTCTTCTACACTCTGCATCAGCGACGTGAGCATGGCCGAATCCAACTCCATAACCTGCATCCACAGAAGATCGCCCCAAAAACACCGACAGCTGGGCAGCTCATGCCTTCGACATGTGGCCACGAGTAGCCAACCTCACACATGCGAAGTTCAACGCAAGGAGTGAAGTTTGTGCGGAGTTGCAGAACCAATTTTTGCCACGGGGCTCCACGAAGTAGTAGTACGGCTTCAGGGCCTTGAGGTATGCATTCAGCTCCTGCAAGTCGGCAGGTTGATCAGCACAATCAGCACCATCATCATCATCATCATCATCATCATCATCGTCTTCATCAACATGGCAGCTTTAGCGGGAATGAAACAAAGGCCCCGCATCGTGCGAGCTACCCACATCGGTGGCTTACGCATCTTACGAATACTCCTGTTCCGTAAGAAACACTGCCAGGAGCCGGTCCTGCAGCGGTATGGCTAAGCCTGACCGCACGTGGCAATGTGTGGTGTCAGGTCTGGTCTTCACTGCCATGATCTCACAGATGGAGCCGTTCAGAAGCACCATGTCACCAAGAGGCAGAGGCGCAAGGCTAGCGCCATGGAGTTTGAGAGCGAGTTGTCCTCAGTTCTCACAGATATCGCAACATTAGTGTGGTCAAAACTGCACAGTCAAAGCTGAGAGAGGTACACTGTACAGCTCAAAGACTCCAAAATTTGTGTAGTTCCTGCAGCCACCAAAAGTCAACGTGTACAAGTGTTGCTCTGAAAAGCCAGGCACCCGTGAAGAGCGTGGGAGAACATGTCCAGACCTAGGCCAAAGCATCGCCCGGCGCAGTGCAGGCGCACTGTATGAGCGAGCTACTGATACATCTGTTACTACATTGATATGTCCAAAACCTTCGCTGCTATTTCCTTCCGTGCCTCTGCCTTTAACACGGCTCATTTAGAGACTGAGCCAAGAGCATACGCCAATGCCCTTGTACTTCTCTATGTACACATCGCGGAACCTCAGCGACGCTGCAGCCGACTCCATGATACAGCACGGTTTGGGATGAAGGGCTGTAGTAGAGGTAATCGTAATAGCAACGAGTAAGCCGTAGTGTAGACCCGTATGGTAACCATGTAGGGGATCTGCACAGTCAGATGATCGCACACGGCAGTCCACACATCAGTGCTCATGAGCCGGCTTTCAGGCTGCTGCTGCCAGGACCGCTATGCAGAGTCTAAGCTGCAATGCCAATTTGAGATTTCGGCTGTGTACGCTGGAGTATCCTGGTTCCATAGGTCACCAGAATCGCGGAAGCCTCCCTGAAGAGAAGTATACCTCACTCAGGCTCATGATCTCTGCCATTCAATCAAAGCAGCCGTTGAGATATGCCACCCTTGAATTTGGAATAGATACAAGAGTCACGGAGGAAATGAGTGAGATCCGATGGGAAAAGGCGAGTCCCTGAGAGAGGGTTGGTGTCTGTGCGACCGCTTGCAGTCGCTTTGATAAGAAAGCCCGTTGCACAGTCGTGCCTCAGAGGACTCAACAACTGAGCTCGTATAATTGAAATGCCAGTTCTTGCTGGTTAGCTTCCAAGAGCTGTCCAGGTTACGTGACCGACACTGTGAGAAAGAGTGTATCCATACGAGTCGTACTGAAAGGGTATTGCATGAGAGAGGGTAGGCAGGAGGCAGCAGCCAGACTCGTCCCCGACCACGCACTTTGTGCTGCTGCTGTTTATGTGCATGCAGCACATGCACATGAAACGTCGCAGCACAATGTCCAGGAACACCTTCGGGGCGAAAGTTTGCAATCCAACTTTGCAGGAAGAATCTGGCAGAGACACAACACAACATGAAACACAGAGTGACTCACGGGAGAAGCTCAGTACAAATCCCAGAAGTGACCCTCCTGCATCACCAATGGCTGCAACTCGTTGAGGAGTCGCAATTCTAAGTTCGCGGACCGTTGGGCGAGGACTGATCGAAGGTAATCCGCTGCGACTGAAGGCACGACATCACGGTGCAGAAGATCTTTTTTTGAACTCACGAGGCAGTGTGAAGGCTGCAGTGCTGCCTTGTTATGCACGAACTCGGCCATAAACTTTAGCAGCGGCGTCGTGACCTTCAGCCATGGACAACCCAGCCGTCTTTCTGTGCCCATGCTGACACAGATCCAGCGCAGTGCCAACAAGGAGACACCGTACGAATTTATTCGGAAGCTGACGAGGTGCCTCTGGATCGTCCCACCAAACATCGAGAGCTCTGGAGAACAGGTTGACCTTGAACACGTAAGCTCTCTTCATGCTAAACGGTCTTGTCCCCAGCGGCCCAATGAACGCAACACCCTACATCAAAATCACCACAGGCCCAAAATCACCACAGGCCCACGACCGTTGAACGGACCCCATGTTGGTAGGCAAGGGAGCTCTTGAACCCAGCAGTACGACCGGTCGCCCCTCCGAGCATGGAGTCAAAGGCGCCAGCCCTGTTCGCCGACGGATTCTTCGGGTTGTCCACGAGCCAGTCGAACAGCATCGAGTAAGGCCTCATTGCCGCTGTAAGCACAGGCTGACTTCGACCGTCACCGGAGCCCTACTGCAGAGGGTCCGTTGCTATTCAGGCAGCACATACACAAGCCAGCCTCGCTTGCCCCTCTTGGGTCGTCACTCGCAACTGCTGCACGCAAGCCCTGGGCGTCACGTGTCACGCGAAGATCGTGGGAAAGAGTTGAACGGCTGTGCGCCAAGGAGCCTCAAGCCTCACAGATCCTCACAGCCCATCTCAGCTGCCCACCAATTCCCCGCAAGTCTCGGCAGAGGCCAACCAGGGCCGGCTTGATCGAATCCTTCCGGCTCACCAGTTCCGAAAATCATGTAGGGCTTGAGGAGGTTGTTGGCAGGTTCGGGCTTTATTTGGGTAGAGTGTAGCTGGCATCATGACAAGTCTAAATCTAACGGTCTGACTACAGTCACATTGGAAGCCTTTGCATGGTGATAACAGCCTAGGAATACTAGCAAACCTGAGACCATCGTTTCAAACAACCTCACGCAGCTCGCATGGAACCCTTCAAGCTTGGAAAGGCCCTGCCTGCCGAAGAAGGTGTGTATTCTGGCAGCTCTGCTGCCAAAGCGACGTCAGAATGTGACCTCAACATGCTGAACTCTGAGGCTGAGGCCAAGCAGTCCATCTTTTCGGGCTAAAGCTCCAGGAAAATTTAGGGTTTGGGGTATAGGGTTTAGGGTTTAGGGTTTAGGGTTAAAGCTCCAGGAAGGTTTAGGGTTTGGGGTATTATCTCATACACTCTCACACCCCACCTTGAGGCTCCATGAACTTCTCGAAGGCCTCACGTGATCTTACGCGAATCACGCGTGGCAAACATGCTCAGCATGCATCGGTTCTGGCCTCCTTGTTGTCCCTGATGTCCATGAACAGCAGCTTGCCCAAGGTATGATAGTACATTGTTCGGTACCTCAACACTACTCTCTTCTGGTGTTTATCCATCAGGCTGCGTGCGATATCCCAGGTTTAGTACAAGGAAGCCTCATGGGAAGTCATTGCTCTGGGGCAGATCCTCCGTTCAACACAACGAGGGCTGACAACTCTGGAACCTCTTCCTTGCCATACTGGCAGAAACGGGGGGAAGACCCGTTCCGTCGAGGAATTTTGTCGAGCGAAAGACGGAAGGGACAAAATGGCTCACGGTGAGTGCAGATCAGTAGAAGCTGACAACTCATAAATGAGAGCCCTGCACTTCTCTGTGCGGGCAAGTTTCCAAAATTGTGTTGTACAGTGTCGTGTTATGTGTTAGAAGCGAACGCTTGCTGTCCATATTCTTGGGTTTGCGCAGAGTGGCCCAATCTGCCAGAGTGTCTGCGAACTCATTTGCTGCCGCCGAGCAATCCACATTTGCATGCGCTCCACACACAGCTATCGCAGCTCCCTGACCGCTCCGCTCAGTTCGTCGGCTCACGATGCACCGAAGGCCCACAACATGTTTTTTGTGATGGTTCATGTCTACTTACAGCCACACCCTCCTTCGCCCTTGCAGCGTGGGGCTGCGTTAACGCAACCACGGGTGAAATACTGGCCTGCGGCCCTGTGCCAGGACTTGCCCAAACGGCCCCACGAGCGGAACTCTGGGCAGCTACTGCCGGCCTCAAATGGGGACTCAGGGTGGAAGCCTCGCTGACGCTGTGGACAGACTCCACAATGGTGGGACGTGGTATCCGTCGCCTGCTGTGCGGAATGGAGACGGGTGTTTCTGAAAACCCTGACCTCTGGCAACTACTGGCCGAGCTTGTCGGACCCAGCTCGAGGAACATCGCCCTTAGAGGACTGGCTCATCCAGTGGAATGGCTACGCGGATACGGTTGCGGGTCTGACGAACCTCAATGTCAATCGGTCGGCGGCTCTGCGACAGGCACACGAACATGCACTTGGCTGGCACACGCGCATGCGGGAGGTACTCCAAGCATTGCGTGGAATTTATTTTGGCATCGCTGACATCACTTCGCTTCCGGATCGCGCAAATACCCTGGAAGTTGAACTGGAGGAGCCTGAGCTTCCGCAATTGGTCTCAGCAGCGAACCCTGGGACCTCTTTTGTTGAAGAGCTCCCGGTTTCTTGGCGACAAATCATCCAGGATGCTTGCCCGGACCTGCCGCGGCCTTTCTTGGAGCAACTAGTCGACTTTCTGGCTGTCCAAAGTCAGGCGGATGGGCCATGGAGGCGTCTCTCCTGGCTCGAGCTCGTCTTCATGATTCAGGCAGCTGGTGCCCCTTGCTTTCCGGTGCGAGCTTTGGATTCCAATCGGTGGCTGAGCCGTGCTGACGTTCTACTGGGTGCTCCTGCACTCATGGTAGCTGTACAGATGAGTCTCCTACGAAAGGCTCTGCGCAGGATCTTTGTTGCCCTTCGGAGGAATGATCTTATGGTGGATGGTATTTCCTTGGTTGAGTTTGGGATCTCTTTCCGGATTGGTGGTTTGTTGTTCCCTTTCGAACCTTCCCTCCTTCGGGCAGCTCACGAAAGGCTTTTTCAGTTTTGCATGGGCCGCAAGGTCTGTACAGTAGGTGACCTTGCCCGCTTGTGCTGACGGACATCGGACTCTCGCTCGCGGTTCTGCCTTGCCGAGCCCGGGCGTGCAAGCTGTGTGTGCAATGTGTTAGAAGCGAAGACATGGGAATCGGAATCTTGCGGTAAGATTGTGCGGACATATGCCTGGAGCTCACACTCTGTAAACTCCCAAACCCACACCAACCCTGGCTTCCCAACCTGACGAGCTGTACATATGCCCACATGTACCCCATAGACGCAGCCATCGGCGCACTTGCCATACTGCAGGCTGTGGGCCCTGAGCACCAGCATGAGCAACAAGCTGGAAACTGCACGCGACCGCACGCATGCGGACGATCAGCGCAGAGAAATCCTGAGCATCGCTCAGAAACCCGAACTGCGGAGAGGCATGGTTGCTGAGGATGTACCTGGCAATGCACCGCAAGCAGTAGCATGAACAGTCAGAAGCCAGAACACTCAGTTCCATGAATTCTCCATTCTAAACCCTAAACCCTAAACCCTAAACCCTAAACCCTAAGGCACTTGACCATGTCGTTCTTAAGAAGCAGGCGGCCGGAGACGATCAGGTGCGGAGATCGGTCCGATGTGTGCACCTCGCTCTGCCAGCATTAATCACCAGAGCTGCTGCAGTATCCCAGTTGCTTTTGGGATACTTAAGGATTTATAGGGGTTTAGGGGTTTAGGGTTTAGGTTTTTTTCATTGCTTTTGGGATAATTAAGGGTTTATAGGGGTTTAGGGGTCTAGGGTTTAGGGTTAAGGTTTAGAGAGCGAGAGCGAGAGCGAGACCGGGAGCGAGAGAGCGAGAGAGCGGGCATTCCGGACACAAGGGATTCGTCGCTTCTGCCGTGCTCTCGCGCAACGGCAAGCATGAGCATGCATTACCCAAGCTCGGCATGCACAATCGATCGACATTCGTTCAACTTCTTACACTCTCTTTGCTGATTCCTGATAGTCAAACTACAGCCAACCTGTGCATGCTGAGGACTTGCACAATATTGATGCCAGCCGCAAGCTCGTGGAACAGCGCCTTGACTTCAGACTGCTACCAGCCCCAAACCCTAAACCCTAAACCCTAAACCCGAACATGTCTGAGAGCTTCGGCTGCGCCTGCAAACAGGAAACAGCAACTAGCCTGCTTTGAGGGTTACTGCCTTTGTCGATCCAACACGATGTTTGCGACACAAGCTTTAACCGAGTGCTAAAGTTCTGACGCTCGCCAGAGCAGAAACTGAGCACATTAAGACTTCCGCCAATCAGACGACAAAGACGCATGAGTCAGGCCATGCATTATGCATTGACAAAGCCTGCAAGTTGTCCGTCCTCTCTAACGATCTCTCTAACTAGACTGGTTGCGTGCATTGCCGGGGATGGTCGCGAGCGAGACAGGACAGAGCACAAGCACTTGCGCACTTGGGCTCAGGCGAGCGTCTTCTTCACCACAATCTCGAGCTGAAACCGTTGCTGGAGGTTGTTGCCTTGCAACGACACTCGCCATGCAAAGCTGGTGATATGCTCATGCCACCGCACTCTGCCGACAACACGCACAAACCGTCCAACCTAAAGGCAACACCGGCGCGGTAGTAATGGGCATTTCCTGACCCCGGACGGCTTCTGCCCACGCTGAGCACCATTCCAATCTTGTTGATGAGAAGGCCCAGGACCTTGACTGAGCTCTGCAGGCATGAGCAGCAGAGAACAGCCAGCACAACCGCCGCCAACAAGCTTGCATGTGTCATCACCATCAACCCGACATGATCTTGGTGACAACAACCTCCATCTTTACAGCTCCCATCATCCACAACAGCAGTCGCACCATCACCATCGTTACTATCATCAACATCAATGCCATCAACAACAGCAACCTCACGGTCGCCATCGTCCTTCCGAACTCTACAAGCTCTTGGCAAGATGGCTCGTGTCCGAACCTCCGTTTGGAGGGCCAAACTGGCTTTCTCTTCGGCTGTAAATGAGCTTCTTGCCGCTGAAGGCAGTTAAGACTGATGAGGTGCTCACTGCATTCTCGTCCTCTAGACCGAGAACTGTTGCCAGGCGTTCGTTGACCTCGCGACAACTCCAACACGCGCACACACACACACACACACGCACATCACTAAGTGCAATCTTTGCTGCTAGCAGTGCAGCCGTTAGGACCGTGCCGAGTGTTGGAAACGAAATTGAGGGAGTAAGCAGGACAACATCGACATGAGCCGTGCCTGCTGCTGAACCACCTGCTTGGCATGCTCGCCAATATACACCTTCCTGAACTGCTCCAAGAAGTACAAGTACCTGGAAGACTGCGGCCACAAATTCTGTATGCTGAATTGCCACCCGTCACAGCCCGGCGCACGCGAGCTCTAGGCCCTCGGATGTCTCCTTCTGCTGGTCCTGGCACATGCCATTGACCCTCAACACTGTGTGTCCTTTGCTTTGACACAGCTTATGCCATCGGGTCACGGACACCATTAGTAGGAGCGGACAGCCAACATGCTGTGCCAGACTGGCATACTGCTCCCATCTGGCTCAATACGGCATCTATCGATCATCAACCATTCGCATTGGAGCTTGGCTGTACACTACCTGCACACGTCCCGTCGGGCGTGGCCTCCGTGGATAGGTTGAGACCGAATGTCAGTAACATCGTAATCACCATGTAGAAAGATGCAAGAAAAAAGAACAGCAGTAGTAGACGAAATGCACAAGCTGGTACTGGTAATTGGTTATCAGCGCACCTGCAAACAGCCAAGACAGCACACTCCACTTGATCACACGTGAAACATCACGACGAGGCCACGCAAGCCGTACATGTTGTGCAGTCCGTCAAGTTCACCAGACGGAAGATGCGCCCGGCCAGCTCACCTGGCTTCCAGGAATTTCCGTGCATCCAAGCATTCACAAGGAATCCTAGAGGGCCACATAACAGCAACAGCAATCATCTGTGCTGACTCTGCTTGTGGCATCCACAGAACTTCGCAGCATCTTATACATCTAGTACGGGAAACCATTTGCCGGCGAAGTATCATCCAACTTCATAACATCATCATCATCATCATCATCATCACCATCATCATCATCGCAACCATCAACAACAGCAACAACAGCGCAAACTTCATCATCATCACCATGACCAGCAGCATCATCGTCGTCGTCCATGTCATCGTCATCATCATGTGCACTGTCCTTGCCGTCGTCGTCACCGCCATAGCCATCATCCCACTCTATCTTCCGATGATGTGTCAAGATGTGTGCTGCAGGCAGGGTTCCCTCCACGCTTCTTGCTGGAATGCAAGCGTGCTCGAGCGACCATTCACCACGTGCGTGGGGGCACAGTCCGTGTCTGTCCGGTTGGCCTCGCAGGTTAAAGGATGCTCGCACAAGGACCAGAAGTGCACCATAGCACGCGATGGTAAGAAAGACAGAATCAACGACAATATACCATGATATATTTTGATACACCATAATGTACTATGATATGCTACCATCTAAAGAATCTAAAGTAGAAAAGAAAAAAGGCGCCAGTCTTCTGGACCGGCCTTGGCAGAGGCATGCCCACCAACTAACGCCCCCATCATGTAAACCAGCCACCTCAGAAAGCAAGCCAACGGTTACTCAGAGGGTTCTAGAAGGGTTACCTTGAGGGCTAGAATATCGGTTTCTGCCGCACAACACTCCGAGACACTCAGAGGCTTTCGAGTGAGGCATCCACGTCATCTTCTTCTCGAAGACCCGCTGTGGCACAACACCTTGCTGTCCCAACCTTCAAGAACGGTCTCCACCAGAGGCGAACCGCTTGAAACGGGTCCGGACATGTACGGGCACATGCAGGGTTTCATCGGCCAGGGACTCGCCGGTTTAGGGTTTAGGGTTTAGGGTTTTGAGAGGCAACATCATGGCCGCACCATCCGGGCACCACCCGCTCCCCGCCTGGAGGTCTCCTCAAAATGCTTCATGATGTGCTGGGCTGTGTCCTGGCTCTGTTCAGCAAGATTTGGGCAGCTTTGGAGTCTGAAGCACTACAGAAGGTACTTTTTTCATGTCAAGGCCCCCCCTGGCACTTTGGTGCAAGAAATAATTGTCAGACATCCTTGAATTATAGCATGCCCCGAGTCCTGGTAGCGGCATCGCCCTAAGTTGGAGAGCACTTCCAGCTGCTCCGCTCTAAGCACCTCGCAACGGCGGATGGGCAAACGGAGCCACGAGCTCCGACAGATGCGCCTCATCCTCGAGCGGGTCGTCCCAGTCGTTGCAGGCCGCGGGGTCTGCAGACGCCTCCCGTTAGCTGTAGTGTCGGGCAAGGTTGGGACGTCGTGACGTCGCTAAGCGTGCAAGAATATACAGAATTCGATAGAGCGAGGGTGTGTATACGTACCAGTGTCTATTCACAACATGTTGCTCGGCATGTTCTTTCCACATGTGCGAGTGTCGAACGCGTGCGCTTTCGTCAGCTTGTGTGCAAGACCCATCCGCTGCGAGATTACATGCTGTGCCGCATCTGGTGGAGTCCGCATGCGACCCAGAGGTCATCGAGCTAAGCACACCAGACCGTTCCTTCACCAAAACACGTGACTAAAAACCTTAATGCAGAATTGGGTTGTGTGCCAAGTTGTGTGCCGTGCCAGAAGTTAAGCGCGTGTGAACACAAGAACATAAGCCCGGCTGAAGCGAAAGCCCCAAGCCCGAACTCACAGCTCCAGGGCAGCGGCGCTTTTAGCTTGGCACCAGTTGCTGTAGCATGGCGAGCTCTTCCTGCAGCAAAGCTACCATGGAAGCAGTGCCTTCCATCGCCTTCTCTTCCAGGAGGGCCAAGAACTCCTCGAGTCCAGGCAGGGGGGCTCTTTGCAATGCCAGCTTCCGCCGCAGCTGCCAAAGTTGCAGACTCAAGTGCCCCAAGCTTCCATCTTTGGAGGCCTCTCGGAAATCGAACCGCTTGTAGGCGGCCACCAGGGGGTCACTGCAACAGGTGAAGAAGTGAAGACCAGCTTGGCCTTCCAGTAATGACACCTGGCTCCCCGTGGAATTAAAGCCATGCAGGTCCCGGAAGCATATACCCGACCTCTCATCTCGCAGTATAGCTGCCATCTGTCTCAGCAGATCGTTCGGGCAGCAGCGAGGAGCCTCTGCTGCTCCCGCCAAAGCCTCCAGCATTCGAGCACCTGCTGCCTCACGGCCCCTTGGTGCCAGCGCGGCGGTCGAAGCCCTTCCTGTCATCACAGCTTTGAAGTCAAAGGGATCCTGGCCATCCCACCACCCTTTAGACTTGCAGTGCTCCTTGAGGCCAGGATGGATGGCAAAAATGTTGCTGCGAATAGAGATCCCATTTGAGATGTTCCTCCAGCTCCCTCTGGGCACTCTCTCTGCAACCCACCAGGACGTGCCAGCTGTCTCCAATACGAAGGCCTCAGAGGAGTCTGCGAAGATAAAGCCATTCTCATATGTCCATCCAGGATCATCTTCCGCACATCCTCCACCTTGCCCGTGAGCTTCCAGAAGTCCGGCGCAGGTTTGCATCGCTTCACGAGCCGTCTTCGAGCGCTCCAGAGAGAGTCGGAGCAAGTCCATGCCCAGAAGCCGCAAATCCGACCCAAGCTCTGCAGAAGCTCGGGTGTCCACGGCTTCGTTGCCGCCGACAACACCAAACTCGTTTGCACCCATCTCGCAGCCCCACATCCATCGGGGCTTCGAAAGCACGACGGCAAGGGTCTCTGCAACCTGAGGGATCTCAATGTATGTGCACTTCACCTTGGGCGGCGCTTGGCTTTCCCGCGGCAGGTGCTCTACCAAGTGCTCCTCATTGGATGGTCGGTCAGAGTTCTTCCCAAAGCAAGCCGGAAGGGAGCTGCCCTCGCGCGGAAGATACACGAAAGTGTCGCAGGAATTCGGGCATGGCCGGGAAGACATCTCGGCAATACTGGAAATACGGCAAGAATGACAACGGAAATGATGCCCACGATACCAACAATTATGATGATAGGAATGACCACGAGCACTATCAACATCAAAAAGAAGTAGAAGCAGAGCATTCATGCCAATAATGATACTAATGATGGTGGCCCTTTCGACTGTCTCCGAAGTGCTCTTTGATGCGTGGTGGTGCCATAATACCCCATAATACAAACAATAATGGTACTACTAAGTCTTTAACTAATCATGACAATAAGAAGAAGAATGACAGCTAGCGCTCCTGTAGTATTGGTGACTAGTGCTCGTCGTAGTCGTCGTCGCAGCGATAGTGATACTGGTAATGGTAGTGGTAGTGGTAGTGGTAGTAGTAGTAGTAGTAGTAGTAGTAGTGCCGGTGATGCCTGTAGTGGTAGCCATCTGGCCGTGGCAGTGGTTTTGGCAGTGGTAGTGGTAGTAGCATGGGGAGTTGTAGTGAACAAGCACCAGTGGTATTGCTAGTGCTCCAGTAGTAGTGGTAGTAGTACTAGTAGTAGTAGTAGTAGTAGTAGTAGTAGGAGTAGCAGGAGTAGCAGTAGCAGTAGCAGTAGCAGTAGCAGTAGGAGTAGTAGTAGTAGTAGTAGTAGTAGTTGTAGTAGTTGTTGTAGTAGCAGCAGCAGCAGGAGTAGTAGTAGTAGTAGTAGTAGACACGGGTCCCACTCGGCGCCCCGACAGATTCATTGATTCTTCTACTTCGCAGGGCGTGGGGGGTGGGGTGGGGGGGTGGGGGGG